ATTTTATCTTAAAAACAGTTTTTAGTTGGTAGATAACTGGGTTTTTGCAATGAAACTACAAACATGGCCAAACGGCGTGGAGTCGAACATTCAGCGACCTGGAGGGGGCGGGGTGTGAAATATCTCACTTGCATTTAAAGAGACCGCACCAAAACAGCTTGCTCTGAGGCACAACTCAGAACAGGGGTAAAGCAAGGAAAGCAAGGAGTCTGTGGAGCAACAAAAATGAGGAATTAAGACCAAAGCGTTGCAGTTTTATTTTAAATAGACCATAAGTGAATGTTTTAGACGTGAAAAAGAAGAATTTAAAAGCATGATATGATACCTTTAATAACATTCAAAAACTGAACTGATCTATACATGATAATATTTAATCAGATGAGTTTCTCATTTTTAAATAACAAATCAAAAACTAATAAATTATACAGAACAGAATTAATCAAAACAACAAATAGATACGTTTTGGGGCATTTATTGAGCCTTACTGGATTTCTTCTAATGAAGGCAGACATACTGTATTTTTATGTTTAGTTTACTTTTAGCCTTTACTTCTGCTTTTTATTGTTATCACAATAAACTGTCTTTTTTTTGTAAAATGGCTTAATTCATTTTTAGATGTGTGAAAATCTACATTTTGTTCCAACTTCAATGTGTTCAAATGTTTCATTTTTTCCTGGTAGGTTTTAGAGAAAGACAACACTGAAACTAGAGTTAATATAATAAATGACTGACTCTGCTGCCTGATTCGTCTAATTCTTTCTCAGAGATTTCATTCACATATTTACTGAAAAACTACAAAAACTAACGTTAAGAACATGAATGTAATTTTTTTCTTTGATGTTTTTGGTGAAAGGTACAGAAAGTCCCTGCTGAGGAACCAAAAAGTTGCCCACAGTTGAGGCAGAATGAGATAAATCTGCTACAGAACTGAGAGTTTGTTCTGACCTGCCATAAGGTTTCTCCTCCGTGGTGTTCATCTCGAAGGTTTGTTCAAAGTTGTACAAACTGATCACCGCCTCATTCAGCGTGTCCAGCTCAATACCTCCTTTAAAGTAAGAAAAATTAAGAGGAGGAGGAGGCTGGAAAAAAAAGAAAAATGAAAACAATTATTAAGACTATGACATTGTTGCAAATAAAAGTTAAAACTTAGCAGTGATAAAGAGCCTCCCCGCACCGGTGCATTCAGCTAAAGCAGACGCCACTTTGTYAAGTTTTGTTAAGCACAGCCAAATACAACAGTATGAAAAGGCCACCGATTAGTGCAGAGGTAAATTTCAGAAATTAGCATATTGTCATGTTCAGGACTGCAGGTCTATCTATCATGTACATTTCTGCACAATTTGGACAATTTAAAGTGACGATACACTCAACAATGTGTTCAAGTGGATATGGGTGTATTCAGAATTTGCCCACACCTTTCAGATGTTGCAACAACAATTGCTAACAATTGTGCACCATCTTGCCAAGAGTGCTGTACAACATGTCTACATCAGGTAAGTGCAGCTACAGTGTCACGTCTACATATAAATGTAAATGGTAAATGGACTGTACTTATATGGTGCCTTTCTATCCATCCAGGACACTCGAAGCACTTTACGCTTACAGACATTCACCCATTCACACACTGAGGATGGCTGTTATGGTAATATTTATTTAACAAAGACAGAAATACTTGGTCCAAGAATGAAGGTACTCCGTGAGATGATCAGCTGAGTTTTATTGCAACAACAGGAACACAGACAACAACCTGGCCTGTCTCTGTGCCTCTGCTTCTCTCTGTCACTGTCTCTCCACACTACTCACTGTTGAACACTCTCCACTCCACTGAGAGGCCTCATATATATATTAACAAACACCATTCTGTCATCTTAGCAAGATTTGATACAAGGTCAATGTAAAACACAAAGATAAACATAAGAGATATCAAAGAATGACTATTGTTAGCGAGTCTTGTTCTGACTTTAATCATTCTACCTGCAGATGAACAGCATGTCATGAAAACCTAGGTCATTAAAAGATGTCATGAATTACTTGCTTAAACATAAAAGTATTACTTCCATTACACATAGTCTTTTCTGAATCAACTTGAACTCGTCTGAACGTTCACTTATTGTGTCACTTTTCAC